ACTAGATCTGAAGAAAGAAAGTCTAGAGTGAATTAACTCCACGCTGGAAGGGATCCTGCACGGTAGGACTAATCAGACCTGTTTTCTTCACCCTACCCAGGTCAGAGAGTTGTTCACTAGAAGCCCCCCTGTATGAATCCCTGAACCGAGAAAAAAGGGGCTTAAAGGAAAAATTCCCTCTCATCGGAGGGAAACAAACGTGGGGAGAGGATGAATGGCCTGCTGAAAGGATCATTGAATATTATGGTCCTGCCACATGGGCTCAGGATGGGTCGTGGGGATACCAAACCCTCATCTATTTACTTAATCGCTTAATAAGGTTGCAGGTTGTAGTGGAGATTGTCTCCAATCACACCTCAGATGCTCTTGAATTATTATCCCAACAACACTCTCAAATGAGGGCTTTTGTATATCAAAATAGGATAGCCCTTGATTACTTACTAGCTGGAGAAGGAGGTGTGTGTGGAAAATTTAACGAATCTCAGTGCTGTGTAGAAATAGATGATTATGGAGAAACCATTAGAAATCTGGCCACAGAAATTAAATGGGTAGCCCATGTTCCAGTACAAAAATGGAACTCACTTCTCCAAGCATCTTGGTGGGATCATTTGTTAGATGGGGCTTGGTGGAAGAAAATAATTTTCTTCATTTTATGTTCAATAGCAGGAGTCATATTCCTACCCTGTCTCATCCCCTGTTTTATAAGACTCGTCCATTCCGTAGTACAGGGGATGCAAATAGCAGCTTTACCCATAGACCCAGAAGCTGCCCTTGGAAAAAGAAATCAAATACCAAAAATAATGACACTGGGAGAAGAAATTCCTCACAGCAGGGCGGCTGAGGCTCTAGCAAAATTTGAAAGGCGAATAAAGGGAAAAGAACAAAACTACAAAATTTACCAAGATATTCCAGATGTAAACTAAAAGCCAGTCTCAAGGTAGTCAACACACTACCTTGAGAGTGAATAGAGGTAGAAATTAAGGCGCGAATTAATGAGTTAATATAGAAGGTGGGGGATTGTTATGTGTAATAAATATAATTCGCGCCATTCCTCATATGAAATATGTAATATTGGATATTTGTTAAATCATGCCCGTCGTATTAGTTCCCCCCCCATTACAGGCGAGACTGGATGTATATTGGGAACTGATTTACAAGTAAAAGGATGTGGCTTGGCCAGGAGATGGGCCATGTCTGGGCTCCAGGTGTTGATCATCACGATCATCAGTGCTGATCGTCCAAGATGGATATCATGGAAATCCTCAGACAGATCCATGTGAATGCAGCCTTCCCGTAAACTCTCA